TGATTTGTTGTGGGTCTGTGTCTTCTTTGTGAATCAATGTAATATACATCTCAGTCCATGATTTAGGTATTACCTTCTTTGTCATCACTTCATTCATCACCTCCAATAGTGGAAGGGTCAAAGATTCTTGTAGCGTCCTGTAATATTCAACTGATAGACCGTCTGGCCCTGGCGCCTTCCCATTCTTTTGCTTCTTGATTGCTTCTGTTAACTCCATCATCATTATGTTTCTTTCCAACGTCTCCTCCACATCTTTACAAATCTGAGGAAGTTTTACTTCTTGTAGATACTTTAGCACTTTTTCCTCCTCTATCGTCTCTCTTTTATATAGTTGTCTGTAAAACTCTTGTATTATCTTCCCCATCTCTTTATGTCCAAATTTACTTTGCCCTTGTGCATCGACTAGGTGTGTTATTTTCCTCGATTCTTTTTCCTTTTTCAATTTATAAGGTAACCATCTGCCTGGTTTATTTGCATTTTCAAAGTAGTTTTGTTTGGCACTTCTTATTTTTTGAGCCAATTCTTCTTTCTCCAGTAGATCCATTTTATGCTTTATTGTATCCATTTTGATTTTAATATCATTCTTATGTGGATCTTTCTGGAGTTCCTTTTCGAATCTTTTGTAATCATTGGTTAATTATTTCGAAGTTAGCCCTTTTTTGCATTCCTTTTCCTTGTGTAGTCTATGATTAGTCCTCTGGCATATGCCTTCATTGTATCCCAGCGGTTTTGTATCGATGTCTCTTTAGGTGTGTCAATAAGTATTCGTGTTGTTTTTTAATATGTACTTCTTGTAAGCAAATTAGCTTTTAGTTTCTCTAATTTGTGGAATACTTTCTTTCTTTTAATAGCCAAATTAAGTCCATTTATATTTATTGAAATTACTTTCCTTTCTTCCATATTCATACTTTTTATGTAGGTTTTATTGCTCTAGTAAATCTTACTTCACGTTGTTCCTTTTGTTGAATAACTCCCCCAACTGCTCCCTCTGTTGACTCGAGCATTGCCAATTCTTCCTCTGTAAATTTTATTGGAGCTACAGGTTGGGTTTCGAATTGCATTTCCATTTCTTTTTCTCTAAGAAATTGATCATAGAAAGCTCTTGCTTTATCAATTGTGTTCAGTCTGTATCGTTGAAGTTGCCATACAAAAGTTAGTCCTTCTGGGGTCAACCATCTGTAGTTAATTCCTTTTTGCATCAAAATTTTTGTCAAAAACTGGTACTCTCTTCTCAGCTCTCTAACTTTCTTTGGTGTTTGTCTCAAAACCACCACTTCTTTTTCTTTGTATTTCAAAGTTTTTTCTCTTGCTGCCTGGAGAATTTGTGCTTTAATTGATTTCTTAGTGAATCTTATATGTACCTCTCTTGGGAGTTTATTACATATTGCGTATCTAGTGTAAACTCGGTAAATCTCGTCAACTCCTTCCAACATCTTCTCTTTAGTAGTTTCTAAGGCTTCAGCCAGTAACCCAATCATCACATCTGCAAGGTTTTCTCCTTTTCTTCTTCAACATTTTGAAATCTTAAATAAAATTCTGCTTTGTCTATTTCCCATCCGATTAGTCCACTTGCTTCTAGCTCCACATCTCCCAATCTATTCTCGATTTCTTTCATTTTCTCTTCTTTTTGATATTCCTTCTTCTCTAATTTTGACAGTCTCTCTTCATAATTCACCATTGTTTGCTGGATATTGTCCACTTTTTCATCTGTCTTAAGTAGCTGTTGTTCCATCCTTTGGACTTTTTCGTCTGTCTTAGATAGTTGTTGTTCCACTTTAGTCAGTTGTTGTTCCATTCTTTGTACTGTTTGTAAAATTGTTTGTATTGGCGATTCTTTATCTTTGTCTTTTTCTTGTTGCAACATTGTCTGAATAGATCTTTGCCCACTAGATGGTGATGATGCGGGTGTAGTTGCAGCAGATCTCACTGTTGCTACTTTTCTGCTCATTTTGTAATCCAATCAAGTGAAGGAAAAAAAGGGAAAAAGGAGGGGGGGGAAAGAAAAAAAATCCAAAAAAGAGGGGAGGGAGGGGAGAAAAAGTAAAAGAGGAAAAAACAAGAACAGAAAAAAGACAAAAAAATTGGTCAAATCAAGCTCTTCTGGTTCTTCCAAACCATAATCCTTTAAATGTTAAAAAGGAAAAGAGAAAAATAGAAAAATAGAAAAAGCAAAAAAAGGGATCCAAAAGCAAGAAAGGATAAAAAAGAAAAATAAAAAAATAAAAGGCCAAAAAGATAAAAAATAAAAATAAGGAAAAGGAAAAAAAAAGATTTTGCAAGTTTTAAAAGAAAGAAAAGAAAGAAAAATTTCAAATCCATTCAAATATTCCAGCCAATATCCATCAATTCTTCTCTTTAAAAAAAAAAAGCAGACAAAGATTGCAAGTCCTACTAAACTTCTCTCTTTCAATTCAGTCCCGGTATCAGTCAATAGTGAAAGTGAAGCAATTAAGCAATTAAGTCCTTTTGCTAAATAGCCAAATAGGGTAAAAAGAAAAAAAAATTCCCCTTCTTTAGATTCACCGCTTATCTCATCTTAGATGCAGTCTTCAAAACCATTTCCCTTTGGGGTGTTCTTTGTATTATTTAGAAATTGAAAGCTCTCACTGATCCGATACGCTGTCACTTTCGCTCTTCAAGCTGCCCCAGCCTTGGCAGCCATTAATGGCTGTTACCCCAACACCAGAAAAAGAGCTTTCCTTGGATCAATCAGGGGATTTGTGGTACCCCTGAGATCACAGGGATGTGCAATCCACTACTGCAGTCAAAACTAAACTGCGGGGTCCCGGAAGGATTGTCTGAAATCGGGGCTGTCGGCGGGGGTTTCTGGAACTCAGAAATCCCCGTCCGTACTGCCGTGGCGTCAGCTGACCACTTCTAAAGCCATGAATGTTGTTGTTGCAAAGTCGTGTCCAGCCCCTTGCAACCCCATGGACAAAGTTCCTCCAGGCCTTCCTGTCCTCTACCATTCCCCAGAGTCCATTTAATCTCACTCCTACTGCTTCAGTGACTCCATCCAGCCATCTCATTCTCTGCCGTCCCCTTCTTCTCTTGCCCTCAATTGTTCCCAGCATTAGGTTCTTCTCCAGTGAGTCCTTCCTTCCCATTAGGTGGCCAAAGTATTTGAGTTTCATCTTCAGGATTTGGCCTTCTAAAGAGCAGTCAGGGTTGATCTCCTCTAGGACTGACCAGTTTGATTGCCTTGCAGTCCAAGGGACTCGCAGGAGTCTTCTCCAGCACCATAGTTCAAAGGCCTCAATTCTTTGGCACTTAGCCTTTCTTATGGAAGCCGTGAATATTTTGCAGCTAATCTCTAGGTCTAAAGAAGGCTTGGTGAAGAGATATCCATCTTCAGATAGGTAATACCACTTGCTAATCTAGCACTTGAATCCAACTGTTAGTCCTCTCCAGGGTGATATAACAGGAAGAAATCATATCGTATGATCACAACCTATACATCTACACCTGGTAGCATCCCTTATTAGCATTCTGGAGGACTGGGAAGATATGGATCTAGTATAATTCTTCTGTATAATTTTGCCACCTCTTCTTAATCTCTTCTGCCTCTGTTTGGTCCCTGTCATTTTGGTCCTTTATCATGCCCATCTTTGCATGAAACATTCCCTTCATATCTCCAATTTTCTTGAAGATTGGACACTTTGCAAAACAACAGATCTGTAGAATTGAGTAATTTTACATCATCGGCAAAAAGAATGCAATTGCTTTTAAGTTGATCACATGAATAATTGATGTAGAGCAAAAAAAATGATGAAATTTCTTATGTTGCAGTGAGAACAACTTCTACTACATTCTGCCCTTCTTGTTGGCTGTTCATGAAGTCAACCAGAATTCAAGGCTCTTACCCAACATCACCCTGGGCTACAACATCTATCAGAACTTTTTCAGTGCAAGAATGACATATGAGGCCATGCTGGATGTGCTGTCTACAGGACAGGAGAACATCCCAAACTACAGATGTGGTAGACAAAAGAACCTGCTGGCAATTCTTGAAGAGATGGATTCTGAACTCTTTGATCATATTTCCAATGTCTTGAGCATCTATAAATTTCCACAGGTATAAAGCCAAATGAAATTAATTCTGTGTTGTAAAATGTTCAGATTTGCCTAGAAGGCAGCAGTTGTATATATTTCTCCAAATAAATTGAAAGTCAGAGAATAAATATTAGAAGAGATTAAATATTTTTTAATTCACAAAGTATGTCTGTGTGTATATACATATATATGTTTGTGTGTGTTTGTGTGTGTATGTGTATACACACACATGTATGTATATGCTATATACACACACACACATAGATACACACACATGTATATGTATGTGTGTGTGTGTATGTGTGTGTGTCTTTATATACATTCAGTGCTGGGCTGCTGCTGGTTCAGACCAGTTCTAGCGAACCAGTAGTTCTGGCAATCATTTGTCCCTGTCCATGTCACCTCCCCCATCCTATCCTGTCCTATAATTCCACGTTTCTCAGCTCAGATGATTTGCGTGGCATGGTGGATTTCCGTGCCTCAGCTGTTTTACTTACTGTGCCCTAGAAGGTAAGCTGTAAAATTGGTGTATTTTGAATGCTGCACAAGCACACAAAGCACATGCTCACAGAAACACAGACACACAAACACATATGTGGTTGGGCTAGAAGACTTTCCAGCTCTATTCTGATTGATTAATTGACTGAGAGGATGGGTGACCCACAGAGTTATAATGTGACCAGAAGGGTGTACTCTATGAGGACCACCAATGAACATCACCCACAGATAATTCAGAGCTCCCTGGTTTCAAAGGGAGCATACAAGACAACAGGACAGAACATCAAGGGAACTAGCAAAATTCATGCAGTTATCATTTGAAACATCTCTCAGCAGTGTGGAAAGGTCCTTAGATTTACCACCTGACTTTTATCATTAAAACTGGTACAAACTACCAATACCTTTTCTTTCATCTTAGATCAACTACAGTGTCATCAACCAGATGGCTGAGCAAAATTATTGTTTTCCTTTTTCATATCGGATGACCCCAAACCAAGAACCTCCTGACTCAGCAATCATCCAGCTGCTCCTGCAGTTCCAATGGACGTGGATCGGCGTCCTTTCTCAGGACAATGAAAGAGGAGAAAAATTCAAAAGACGCTTGGAAGTTCTTGCTCTAAAAAATGGGATTTGCATTGTTCTCTCAGGAACCGTCCCAGAAGGAAATATGCATATAAGTGCTGGAGAAACTCTCATGCAAGAAAAAAGGAAAACGTTTCTTTCTCTAATCAAGAGTCAAATAAAAATTATAGTATGCCAACTGGATTTTCAGGCCTCGGGAATCTTAGCAGTAATAATACAAACGATGGATACATCCATTGTGGGAAGGGTGTGGATTGCAACAACTTTGACAGCTTTAAGTGTAAGTACTTTTGATCTCTTGGTTGATCTCCAAAATAAATATGCTTTGTTTTCCTTCCTCATCCAGACAAAGAGAAGGACTCAGTATGATGACATTAACTCTTATGCATCTACGGTCATATTGTATGGAAAGGAAGCATTCCAATGTTCTTATTCAAGTCCTGTGTTATCTAAGAAAGTCTGGAAAAAATGCAGAGAAAAAGAGAATTGGGAATTCCCACCCCATGATGTGATTGCAAGAATACTGTCTCTGGATTCCTCCAGTATTTCCCAAATAATTCAAATTGTGGCCTGGGTCCTCAGTGCTGCCTCTTCCTCCCAATGGAATAATAGGAGAATGCAAGTTGGAGACAATCAACCATCCCAGATTGTACAGCCATGGCAGGTAAGTCTTCTCCCTTGAGGTTCCATTGATTCTCCCCTTCCAATTCCTCAATATTAAATTAGATGTAGAAAGGGGTGAGATATTCCAAAGAGCAGTTGCCCAGTTTGTGGAATTTGAGAGTGTGTCTCAATCGTGAAGCAGATCTGACTGAGGCCATCTTGGAGGCTTCAGTGTTGCCACATTGGAGCTGAGGGATAGAGAGGGAGGGGAGAATAGAGATAGCTAGGGTTTTGTAGCCAAAATAAAATATTTTCTCCTGGGAACCAAGGACATTCCCACCGATGGCCAGAGGGAGGATGAGTAAAGTCACCAGGCAACCGGATGACACCTTGATTGGACCATGTGACTGATTGATTGGAAAGAGGAGGAAAACTTTTACTTTTAATTAGGTGAAAACTGTGGGAACATTTAGAGTCAGCTTTCACCAGCCTATGCCTATATGATACAGTATGTCTAATAAAACTGATATTTGATGAAACTGCTTGCCTCAGAGTCCTGTTTGCTATGGGCGTATTACTTGGAACCCTGACATTAAACAATCTCTAAATGTTTTTTCCTTTTTTCAAGTTTTTTATTTTTTAATTTTTTAGAAACATATCAATGTGTGAACAGTGTGGAACCTGAGTGACTTACATTTTGGTACAAATCAAATAATATTCATCATATTTACTACAGTTGACAAGCATATATACTTCTGGCAATAGTACACATATTTTTGTTGAATTATAATTTCACATTATTAGCTATTCCATATTTCTATATGTTGTTTTTATGCCAATCACCATATTCTGAGTGTCATTCCTTTTACTACAAATAAAATATTAATAATCATATTTGTTACTTTTAACAGGCTTATATGGTTCTAAGAGTAATACATATATTTATGTTAAATTATAATCTTCCATTATTTAATTATTCAATATTTCAATATGTTATTTTTATGCCAATCACCATATCATTCAAACATTCTTAATAGTACCATCGTTCACATTCTGATTTCCCCTCTTATTATTACTTCAACTTATTATATAAAGATGTCTATTCCATTAATTCCCCTCTCTCTAGTTTCCGTCCCCTTTCTAATTTTTAATTTTCCCACTATTATATTGAAAAATATTCCCTTTCTATCTACATTTTAGTGAAGATTTAGAGTCAGTTTTCACCATCCTATGCCTATATGATATGTCCAATAAAACTGATGTTTGAGGAACCTGCTTGCCTCAGAGTCTGCTATGGGCGTATTACTTGGAACCCTGACGGTGAGTTAGAGAGAGATGATAGAGAAAAACCTTCCAAAGTTAAACAACCTGTGCTAGTTTGGGATGCTTTGGTGACAGAAATAGCTCTATGGTGACAGCGTAATTTTCAAAACTAAACAAGCATCAGAATATTCAAGCAATCCTCAACCTTTTATTGTGATCACAAAGTGATCTCCAACTAAGGAGTTCAGATGGATTTTTTGTTCTGGATTAAGACTGAATTTTGTTGGCTAAAAGTTTCTAACATAGCAACAAGGTATAAATCAAAGGATCTTCTGGGGTCAACAAAAGGTTCATCCACACATCTCCTGAAATAATGGACATGCTTCCATAGCTATTCTTTGAAAGAGATAACATCACTATGCAACTTTTGTCACATTCCTAGCCCAAAGTTAAACTCCTCTAATTTCCTCTTGACCAGGACTGATGGCAAAATTGTATTTTCCATCTTCTCCAATTACAAGTTTTCCCTTATCTGCAAATAATCTTGCCTCAGATGGGCTGTGATAGTGAAACAAGAAAATATAGAACATAAAACATAGAATAGTAAGAGTTTGAAGGGAACACAGAGGCTTTTCTATTTCAACCCACCAATCAAGCAGGAGACCCTATGCCATTTCCGACATATGGTTGCCCACGTCTCTTTTTGAAAGCCTCCGATGATGGAGCACTCACAACTTCTGAAGGCAAACTATTCCATTGGTTGATTGCTCTCACCGTTAGGAAATTTCTCTTTAGTTCTAGGTTGCTTCTCTTATTCGTTAGTTTCCAACCATTGTTTCTTGTCTTGCGTATTGGTGCTTTGGGAAATGTTTTGACCCCTTCATTAATATCAAAGATGTTAATATTTGAGCCCCTCAAATATTAGAAAAGTGGTATCATTTCTCCCCAATCCTTCATTTCCTTAGACTAGACCAGGGGTGGGTTCTACTTACCTTTACTACTGGTTCGCAGTGGGGCCGCGCGCATGCGCTTACCTCACTCACTCGAGTGCGCTCTTCTACACATACGCAGAAGCTTCTTTTTTTAAAAAATGAATTTTATTATTTTTTCCAAGTTAAAGTCAACATAAGACAAAAACATTGATTATACAGAAAAACAAAAACCATACATTCCCCTCCCTCCCTCCCCCATTCATAACACTAAACATACAAACACGTCTATCCCGGCTGATAATATTCCTGCCCTCATTAATAAGTAATTATGCCCACAACACAGAATGGAGTAAGTAATCCCCAAATATGGTTTTCATACAATTATCTTTCAATCTAGATAAGTATATCTCTCCTCATATTGACTTAGGCCCTCATTTCATCTCAATCCTTTTATTCAACCACTGATACCAACTGTCCCAACTTTGAAAAAATTCAGAATCCTCTTTTTCTTTCAACATGTACATCATTCTGTCCACCTCAGCGCACTCTAATACTTTATTTATCATTTGGGCACTAGCCGGAATCTCTTTTTCTTTCCACTGTTGGGCAAACACTATTCTAGCTGCGACTATTATTTATTTATTTATTAATCAAATTTCTATACCGCCCTACTCCCGAAGGACTCAGGGCGGTGAACAGCCAAGATAAAATACAGATAATACAAATATTAAAAAATCCCTTAAAATTATTAAATATTTCGGCCGAAACACAGATTAAAACACCCAATTTGTAAAATCACGAATTAAAAAATTTAAAAATTTAAAAGATGGGAGTTAGGCCAGGCCAGCTTGCTGAAATAGAAAAGTTTTGAGAGCACGGCGAAACATGCGCAGGTCCGGGATCTTCCGTATCTCTGGGGGGAGCTCATTCCAGATGGTAGGTGCCCCCACAGAGAAGGCTCTCCCCCTGGGGGCCGCCAGTCGACACTGTTTGGCCGACGGCACCCTGAGGAGCCCCTCTTTATGGGAGCGTACTGGTCGGTGAGAGGCTATTGGTAGCAGAAGGCGGTCTCGTAGATACCCCGGTCCGATGCCATGGAGCGCTCTAAAGGTGGTAACCAAAACCTTGAAGCGCACCCGGAGGACCACCGGGAGCCAGTGCAGCTCGCGCAGGAGGGGGGTCACATGGGAGCGCCACGTCGCTCCCATAACCACCCGCGCGGCCGCATTCTGGACCAGCTGGAGCCTCCGGGTGCTCCTCAAGGGGAGCCCCATGTAGAGAGCATTGCAGTAGTCCAAGCGGGAAGTAACGAGAGCATGAGTGACCGTATTTAACGAGTCCCGATCCAGAAAGGGACGCAACTGGCGAATCAGGCGGACCTGATAAAAATTCCCCCTGGCCACGGCCGTCATGTGCTCTTCTAAAGACAGCCGTGAGTCCAGGAGGACACCCAAGTTGCAAACCCTCTCCGTGGGGGCCAGTGACTCGCCCCCAATAGTCAGTGATGGCACCAACTGACTATATCGGGATGTCGGAAACCACAGCCACTCGGTCTTGGATGGGTTGAGCCTGAGTCTGTTTCTCCCCATCCAGATCCGCACGGCCTCCAGGCACCGGGACATCACTTCAAGGGCATCATTGGGGTGGTCCGGGGTGGAGATGTACAGCTGAGTATCATCAGCGTACTGGTGGTACTTCACCCCGAAACCACGGATGATCTCACCCAGCGGCTTCACATAAATGTTGAACAGAAGGGGTGAGAGGACCGACCCTTGTGGCACCCCATATACAAGGGGCCTCGGGGTCGACCTCTGCCCCCCTGTCAACATAGACTGCGACCGGTCAGAGAGAAAGGAGGAGAACCACCGTAGGACAGTGCCCCCCACCCCTAACTCCTCTAGCCGGTGCAGCATGATACCATGGTCGATGGTATCAAAAGCCGCTGAGAGGTCTAATAGGACCAGGACAGAGGAACAACCCCTGTCCCGAGCCCTCCAGAGATCATCAACCAACGCGACCAATGCCGTTTCCATGCTGTACCAAGGCCTGAAGCCCGACTGGAACGGATCCAGATACGACGATTCATCCAGGTACTGGGGGAGCTGTCGCGCTACCACACTCTCAACAACCTTCGCAACGAAGCGAAGGTTGGAGACTGGACGATAATTTGCCAACACTGCCGGGTCCGACTAAAATATGTAGAGTGAGATAACATTTTTTTCTTACTCAGCCCCTCTGGGCGAATACCTAGTAAATATATCTCAGGTTTCCATTGGAGGTCCACATTAGTAATTTCCTTAATCCAATTCTTAATCCTTCTCCAATACTTCTTTGCCATTATAGAAGTCCACCATTGATGGAAATACGTATCTCTGGTTTTCCCACATTTCCAACATAACTCTGATGCACCTGGAAACATTTTAGCAATTCTTGCTGGTGGGAGGTGCCACCTATTTCAACATTTTATATGCATTTTCCTTGAAAGACGTTGCCATAGTCATTTTAATATTTTTCCCCAACATTTGTTGCCATTTATCTAAAAGAATTGAGTACCCAAAAATCCTCCCCCAGGCAATCATAGTGTCTTTTACAACCTCCTCTCCTATCATTCGCTCAAGCAATTGTGCATACATTTTGGTTATGTATTTATGGTCCTCTCCCAATAATATTTTATCAAAACTCTGTTCCATCACATATATCCCATAATTATCTCTATCTCTCCTGTAACGAGGTTGAACTGTAGCGTAGGTCCACACATGCACAGAAGTGTTTTGATGATGGTGGGGTTGGTGGGCGGAGCCTCCTGCCAATTTTACTACCGGTTCTATAGAACTAGTGCGAACTGGGGGCAATACACCACTGGACTAGACATACCAAATTCCTGTAACTGTTCTTTTTATGTTTTAGTCTCCAGCCACCTAATCATTTTTGTTGCTCATCTCTACAGCCTTTCCAGAGTTTCAATATCTTTTGTACATAGTGTTGACTAGAACTGGATGCAGTATTCTAAATGTGGTCTTTCTAAGGCTTTGTAAAGTGATATTAGAACTTCATGTAATCTTAATTCTATCTCTTTATTAACACAGCCTAGGATTGCATTGGCATTTTTGTCTGCTGCCACACATTGTTGGCTCATATTTAAGTAATTGTCCACTAGGACTCCAAGATCCTTCTCACAGTTACTGGCAATAAGCCAAGTTTCAAATAGTCTGTACCTACACTGTTGGTTTTCCTTGCCTAAGTGTAAAACCTTACTTTTATCTATGTTGAATTTCATTTGGTTAGTTAGGGGCCCATGTTCAATTTGTCAAGATCTTTTTGGATTTTGAGCTTGTCTTTTGGGGGCAAAAGACAAGCTGCCAGCTTAGTGTCATCTTCAAATTTGATCAATTCCCTTTCAATTCCCTCAGCTAGAACTTTTTTGAAGATGTTGACGAGTGCTGGGCCTAAAATGGAAGCGTGGGGTACCCCAATACTTCTTTCTTTCCATGTGGATGAGGGTCCCCAGAGGACTAAATGTTGAATATAATTTGTCACACAGTTACAAAGCCACCTGTTGGTGATGTTATCTATATTATGTTTTCAAGAATGTGAGATAAATACCATATTTTTTGGACTATAAGACGCACATTAATTTAGAAAAGGAAAAAAAAAGTTTTTGGCCCCTGTGCAGTTCTTTTTTTGGGGGGGGCCCTTTTTTTTGGCCCTTTTCTAGCCTTTTTCCAGCCTGTTTTTGGGGCTTTTCTTGTCCCGTTTTTGAGGCTTTTTTCATCCCCCCAAGAAGCCTTTAAAACAGGCCGAAAGAAGCCTCAAAAAGAGCCTGAAGAAAGGTCGAAAATGGGCCAAAATAGGCCGCAAAAACACTGAATAAAGGCTGAAAATGGGGTGTGTGGAGACCAAAAATAGCCAGGTGGTTGAGGCTTCAGCAATATTTGGTCTATAAGACGCATAGACATTTTCATCTTATGAAAATGTGCATCTTATACTCCGAAATATATGGTATTTGAAAAAGAGCTGTAAATTCCTGGAGTATGACTGAAAGAAGCTTCCCATGAAATGTTGAATCAATCTGTTTCAGACTGCAGTGATGATTTGAAGAGGTTGAAATATTCAGAGTACGTCTAATCCAGAATAATAACAAGAAAAAGAAATTGAATAAAAGCTCAAACTGTAATGGTTTTTTTTCTATGTTTCTGCAGCTTCATAGGTTCCTGAGAAATTTCAAACATCACAATATTTCCAGAGATGGGATTTCTTTTGATGAAAATGGAGTTCCTGTTGGTGACTTTGATATCATGCAGTGGACATCCGTTTTGAACAAATCAGTTGCGGGGATGAAAATTGGGAATGTAGAAAAACAAGCCTCCTCGGAAGTCAAGATTTCTGTCAATCAAAGTGCCGTCCAATGGCCAACTTTATTTAACAAAGTAGTTGAGGCTGCTTGGATTTTGCTATTTATCTCCATCTGTTCAGAAATAATTCTTATTGAGGCCTGTTGAGATAACTTCCAAATAAGAGAACTTAAAGCCTCCTTAATTTATATCATTTTACTTTAGAGGTTTTATAATAATCTATCACATGCTGGAACCTGCTGCATTGTATTGAGGGATTTGCAATCTACATTATTAAACTGGGATATGTTGCCATAATTTATAGTACATCAAATTATCTTGTTTTCAGTAAGAGAAAATCCAGAATGTCTATGGAGATTCTCAGTCATCCATGTCATGATTGTGCCAAAGGTGCTTTTTCAAAAGGCACCTGGACTTTGTTTTCCCTTGAAGATGTTTCACTTCTCATCCAAGAAGTGAATCCTTCCATACTTCACCATTCAGTCAGAACTGAAGAAGCTTCTGGAATGAGAAGCAAAACATCTTCAAGGGAAAACAAAGATCAGTTGTCTTTTGAAAAAGCCTCTTTGGGAGAAAAGACAGAATATGAAGGGTTTAGCCCACTGAATTGCATAAGAGAAAGGTATCATTAAGAATCTGGCAGGGAAAGTGAGGGCTAAAAAAGTCATTTACATATGATGATACAATGATACAATGATCAGTTGTAGGAGAGAAAGATAGGGACGCTAGAGAAAGCTCAATATTGGAGGTTTCCCGCAGAAAGCAAAGATGAAGAAAAAATATATACCGTATTTTTCGGAGTATAAAACGCACCTTAGTTTTGGGGGAGGAAAATAATAAGAAAAAAAATCTGCCTCTGGCTACCAGCATCCATCAGTATTCATCTAGATACTGTACTGTTGGTGTGTGAGAGAGTTGAGGGCTGTTCGGAAACTGAAAAAGTGTTTGCTGTGTGAGCAACAAAGAAGGAGCCTCGGCGGGTCTTAGGATAATTGTTCTAAAGCTCTGAAACTAAAACTAAAACTGAAACTCCTCTCCTCTGCTTGTGTTTTCCTTTGCTGCTCCGTGCCTCACATTTTTAACTACATTTGGTGTATAAGATGCACTCAAATTTTTATATATAGCATTATATATAATAGAATTTTTATACATGCCCTAAGGAGAAACACTTTTTGCAATGGAACTACTTTCCTTTGGAAAAAAGAATGAACCAATGAGTCTGTTTTGGAACCTACAATGGAGATTGATAGAGAAAGAGAATGACCTTTACTTCATGACATTACTTCTTGACTGATTTTGCTCAATGTGCTCCTGAGCTTTTAGAAGCCACTTGATTTCAGTAAATCCTTCTAATTCATATATTACCCTGACTAATCTTTCTGTTTATGTTTAGATGGTGCCTTATTCAAGATGTACAGAAAGTTGCTCCCCAGGTTATGCCAAGCTTGTGAGAGAGGGAGCCCCAGTTTGCTGCTATGATTGTTCTCTGTGTATGGAAGGAACATTCTCTGGGCAAGAAGGTACAGTAGGTGGCTCCAAAAAAAAATCAAGATACAATAAATATACTATGTTGTTTTTTGGGGGAGTGTTTGATAAATAAGTAAGAAAAACATTACATTTCTTAAAGGCATCCACAAACTTTTTAAATGCATTGTAAGCCGCCTTGAGTCTTTGAAGAAAGGCGGCATACAAGTTGAACAAATAATAATAATAATAAAATAATAATAACTTCAAATATTGGGCACTATTGCCAAATTTGGATGATGATTTGAGCATTAAAATAAATAATGAAAGGTTGCTGATTTCTACTGAGTTGTTACTTTCTTGCTTTGTTTTAGGAAAGAAGTTTTGAGAACTGATAATCACATTCATCTTCAGCCTTTAAAAAGAGTGTTAACTAATGTAGTATCGTATGGATATCCCTGGGGAGAAATATTATATTATTCCTTGAAAATGAAGTAATTGATTTCTGATGCGGTTTTCATGCTGCTACAGCTGCAGAAAAAGATTCATGTTAACCATTTTTTTTCTTAGATGCAGCCGATTGTGAAAAGTGTCCAGATGACCAGTATTCCAATAAGAAGCGAGATCAGTGTGTCCCCAAAAATATAAGCTTCTTATCCTATCAAGAATCGTTGGGACTCATCCTGGCTCTCTTTGCCATCGCTTTGTCCCTAACCACCGCCTTTATTCTGGGAATCTTCATGAAATACCGAGACACTCCCATAGTCAAAGCCAACAACTGTGAACTCACCTACATTCTCCTGGTTTCACTCCTGCTTTCTTTCTTGACCTCCCTTCTATTCATCGGTCGCCCCGTGAAAATGACCTGTCTCCTTCGACAAACCATTTTCAGTGTTGTTTTCTCAGTTGCTGTGTCTTCCTTGCTGGCCAAGACTGTCATGGTGGTGGTGGCCTTTCTGGCCACAAAGCCAGGCAGCAGCATGAGGAAATGGCTGGGGAAGAGTCTGGCCAACTCTATTGTTTTATCCTGCTCTGGTATTCAAGTAGGCCTCTGTATGATGTGGCTGGGAGTCTTTCCCCCATTCCCAGATTCTGACTTTCATTCCCAACCAGAACACATCCTGCTGCAGTGCAATGAAGGCTCTGTCACCATGTTCTACTCTGCTCTTGGCTACATGGGTTTTTTGGCTGCCATCTGTTTCTTGGTGGCATTTCTGGCTCGAAATCTGCCAGGGGCCTTTAATGAAGCCAAACTGATCACCTTCAGCATGTTGGTTTTTTGTAGCGTTTGGATCTCCTTTGTTCCCACTTATCTGAGCACCAAGGGGAAATATATGGTAGCTGTGCAGATCTTCTCCATCCTGGCCTCTGGCCTGGGTTTACTGGGCTGCATCTTTATCCCCAAATGCTACATTATTATCCTGAGACCTGACATGAACACCAAAGAACATCTCATGATAAAAAATCATTAAGGTTCCTTGTGTTGGTGTTTATTTTTGTACAGTTTACATGCAGCATAAAATCACATACTTTGAAGTAATGTTTTGTTTGTTGTCATTTATCTTTCTTCATTCCATGTGAATTTTGAATTATAATAATTAAGTATTAAAGTGGCTAAAACAACTCAAACTATTTGAAATAATCATATCCTTCAATTGTCCTAATCTGAATTCATATTATGACATTAATAAAATTTCTGAAACCAAGCCATATAAACTGTGACCAGAGATGTTCTGATACAATTTTAGATTAAATTAAAGACTATGGCTAATGATGATGTATGTTTTTGTTACTATATAGGTTGGTTTTCTGGTGTTATATTTTATTTTCTGGGTGATGTTCTGATTTTTTTTAAAAAAATAGTTAATTTGAAATATATATTTGATTAATCTCTTCTGGCTGGATAATGTAAGGTTACTCAGAGATAGATAAATGAGATAGCTAGATGGGAGATATTGGGAAAGATAAAAACAGAGACACAGATAACATTCTATATATTGAGAATAGATAAAATATCAACATGGGACAAATTATTATTTTTGACAGTCTTCAATCAAAAGAAAAATATGTACAACTCTGAATGATTTGGGGGGAAATTCATGTAGACACCTAATGTGACAATGAAGGTATGCTTATGAATATTAAAATTGATTCCTGTTTTTTATCCATGTCCATATCCATTTCCATTTCCATTTCCATATAGTGTGGGTGTGTGGGTGTCCTGCCAACGTAGCAATTAAAAAACATGTAAATGCAAAGAGATAAATAGGTACCATTTTAGTGGGAAAGTAACCATGTTCCGTGCATCTTCAGTGCATAGTCATACCAGCCACATGACCATGGAAGCATCTTCAGATAAAGGCTCTTCATTTGTGAATCAAAGATGAGCACCGCCCCTTGGGTTGGTCATGACTGACAGGGGAAATCTTTACCTATACCCACTTAAACCTTTACCTATAAATATATAAAGTTGTTTTTGTGCATGTTATGTTTGTCTTTGTCTTTGTCTTTTTGTCAGTCATCCTTTCGATGTATTACAGATTAGGAAAGCTATATCATATAAATCAGTACTACTTTTATCTGACTTTGTCTTGGTAATGGTCTCTCAATGCAATTACCTCTGCCTTCTACACTATCTCTCTTTGGATATTGAGAAAGCATTAGAAAAGCAAAGCAATTGCAATGTATTTTTATTCACATACTCATTCACTCATTATGTTAAATCAGTTTCACTCATTATGCTAAATCAGGATTCTAGATTGTCCTAATTTTGATTTCTGTCATTGTAGTGTTGAATCTATCCTAGCCACTTCTAGGTTATCTGCAAAGATGAGAAACATGTCCTCCCTCCAACTGTTTACCAAATCAAAGGGTCCAGAACTCAGCACTCAACAAGAATGAACTCAACAAGAATAAAATGGTATACAGAACTCCAAGGTCCCTTCCAACTCTGGTATTCTATTCTATTCTATTCTATTCTATTCTATTCTATTCTATTCTATTCTATTCTATTCTATTCTATTCTATTCTATTCTATTCTATTCTACCCTCTCTAAGCAGAGGGTAGAATAGACAGAGTCAGCATATTTCCCCCAACAATCTGGGTCCTCATTGAGACTCACTGAGTCAACCCTGAGCCTGATGAGATTCGATCTGCCGAACTGCTGGCAACCAGTGATCAGCAGAAGTAGCCTGCAATACCACATTCAACCACAGGTCATCATCAACAACAATAGGTTTAACATGGATTAAGGAGTGGGTCAATTTGGAGAATTACAGACTAGTAAAATTGGAAGGCCACAATTTGTTAAAGGGGTGGTATGCCTTCTTGTGGAACACCCGGAACACAACCTATAAACATTTTAAAAACCACATAATAAGAAATTCACTGATTGGCATTTGGTTCGAAATTAAAAATAAACATTATATGAAGGTTCCCGGCTGGATATCTGCATTGGAGGCAGCAACGCACCCCAACACACTAGCCCCCCATAAATTAATAAGATATAAAGAATTACTGGACCCCCAAGGAAGATTAAAAACACAGCAGGAACTCAGGGAACAAGGCATAGAAATAGATTGGTGGCCCTACCTACAAATACAAACTAGATACAATAAAGACAATGAGGAAGGAGGAATCGACATAAATCCCAACCTACTAGACAAATTATTAGGAACTAAAGATGGAAATTTGATTTCAAAGATTTAAAAATACTTATTAGAATTCGACCTAGCAGAAAATTTAGTTAAAGGACAAATGATAGCTTGGGCAAGGAATATTGGCAAAAATATACAATTGGAAGAATGGGAAAGGGTATGGGAAACCAACTATAGAATAACAAAATCCGTAGCATATAAGGAGAACCACTACAAGATGTGGTACAGATGGTATCTAGCCCCTGCGAGACTGGTGAGGATGTATGCAAATCTTAATCCAATGTGTTGGAAATGCAAGCAAGCACAGGGAACCTTCTTTCATGTCTGGTGGCTTTGCCCAAAAATTAAGAAATATTGGATAAAAATAAAAATTTACATATCAGAAATAATTGCAGAGGATATTGAGTTAGAACCAGAATTTTTTTTGCTAGGAATGCTTAAACCAAACATTAGAAAGGAAAAAAAGTACCTAATATTACATATAATTATGGCAGCTAGGTTAGCCCTAGCACAAGCCTGGAAAACAGATCAATTGCCAACAGAGCAGCAAATAATTCAAAAAAATTACACATGTGCAGAAATGGATAGACTAACGTTGAAATTGAAAGATAAGGAAGACTCACAGTATTTTAAGATATGGGACAGTTGGTATGACTGGATAAACCAATGGAAAAGAAGGTAAAGTCAAAATCTAGTAAGAAATTAAAAGTAATAATTATAAACCGTCATTAAGGAAAAAAAGGGAAAATAAGTTTTTGTATATATTTGTCCTTATATACATTATATATACTTTGTTTGTTGTTTGTTGATATTGTTGATTGTATTTTAAGGTTGTGAATGTTTTATACAATTTTATTTTTTTAAATCTAATAAAATTTGTTTTTAAAACAAAAAAAAAAGGATTATTCTCCTGAGTCAAAGAAAACTCTTTTCTCCAATGGCACACTTTTATGGCCAAGGCTCGTTCCCAATTCCCCTTCTAATTATTAAAATCATGATTATTTATTCTCCTTTGGACAAGGTTCATGAGATTTCCACCACCACAATTAGTGGCCAATCAATGTGACAACAAATGGGACAGAAAGCATGTGATAATGTGATTTGTAACAGCCTCCTGTGATGAGATCAGAGTTTGGGGTAAAGCTGGGCAAATACTGTAGCAGTCTGAAATTGCAGATACCTCTTCCAAATCTGGGAGCAAACTGGACCTTCTCCACTGCAGTTATGGTCTTTCTGTGATCTCTGAGATTTAGCTCTGTGCTGAAGAAAGAACTCTAGGAAGGATCTCCTGCAGTATACTGTATGTCAAATGTTGCTGCTGCTGCATATACAGCTTTTTCTGCTTCAGTTTCTGTCTCAAATTCCCTGTGCCAGTACACTGATGAAATGTCCATTTAAGGTGATAATAGAAGAAAACGAGTGGTTCCATTACTACAAGGCAGGAGACTACTGGATTACGGGAATAATGTCTGGAATGGTATCTCTATTGTACCAATTTTCATTCTCAAAGCCTCCAACCCACCAACTAAAAAGGTAATTGTCAGCTCGTCCAAGGATTGTGGTGATTGATTTTACCTGCTCCAATGTCTTTTCTTTTTATATATATAAAATATATATATATATAAAAAAAATTATATATATAAAAAAAAGTATATATATAAAAAAAATTAAATTTTCTTTTAATACAAAAAATCGCTCTTTCAGTAAACAGTGTATCGTCTGAGTACATATTTTTGTGTCATGACAATTAAAATTTACCACCATATTCATTATTTGCATCTATTCTTATATTACTACTAATATTTAACATACCTACTATTATAACATTTCTCTTCTTAACTTATTTGTCTTTATAATACTTTGCTTTCATATTTATTCTCCACCCATTGATAGAATAACTCCTATGTATTATAATAATCAGATGTTTCCTTTCCTTTGATTGCAAGTGTTTATCTATTCATTTCTGCACATTCTAATATTTTCTTAATCATATTTTCATCCGTAGGGATCTCTTCACTTTTCCAATTTTGTGCAAATACAATTCTAGCTGCAGTTATTATATGAATAATCAAGTATACATTTTCTTTACTATAAGCTTCTGGTATTATCCACAACAGGAATAGTCCAGGTTTTAAATCGATATGTTGCTGCGTCATCTTCTCCAACCACATACCTCCAATGTCTTTTCTAGGAATGATTTCCTTTCCCCTATTCCTCACCTTGAGAACGGCAAGTCACTATTGCTCATCCCAATTTGCTTTAGAGGAAAGGCTCCTGATGATTTTGTAAAACCTGAGTTTGCAAAGTTTCTTTTTCAGTTCTTCCACAACTGTCAGCCTTAACACTGGGCAACACTGGGCACTGCCAACACTGTCCCATGATAAATCTTGCCTGGATGAGGCTCTGCCTGCTTTCAAAATGACTACCTTGATACTCTGGAGAGTCAGTAACATATTTATTCATATCTATTTTATTTTATTTTATTTTATTTTATTTTATTTTATTTTATTTTATTTTATTTTATTATTTTATTTTATTTATTTGTTTATTTATTGTATTTTCTCCCCACTGTTGTCTTCCCCTTCCTTACCTTTATTCTATAATTCCTACCACCCTCTCAGCTCTTTCTTTCCACTCTTTAACACTTTTGCCACTTTTGTGGTTTCCCTGTTCCTTTTGGTTTAAAGAAAAGGGATACTTTTTAAAAACCAAATTCAAGAAGGGGAGAGACTTTATGGGATAAGTTAATGTTTAGTCGCAGAGGAATCACATTAACTGTAGTTAACTGTAGAATATAGGACAATCACTCTAAAGTCATGAATGTTGTTGTTGTTAGTCGCGAAGTTGTGTCCAGCCCACTGCGACCCCATGGACAACGTTCTGCCAGGTCTTCCTGTCCTCTACCATCCTGTGGAGTCCATTTAAGCTCACGCCGACTGCTTCAGTGACTCCATCCAGCCACCTCATTCTTTGCCATCCCCTTCTTCTTTTGCCCTCCATTGTTCCCAGCACCAGGCTCTTCACCAGTGAGTCCTTCCTTTTCATTAGGTGCCTAAAGTATTTGAGTTTCATCTTCAGGATCTGGCCTTCTAAAGAGCAGTCAGGGTTGATCTCCTCTAGGACTGACCAGTTTGATTGCCTTGCAGTCCAAGGGACTCGCAGGAGTCTTCTCCAGCACCATAGTTCAAAGGCCTCTATTCTTTTGTTCTTAGCCTTTCTTATGGAAGCCATGCATATTTTGCAGCAAATCTCTAGATCTAAAGAAGACTTGCTAAAGAGATATCCATCTTCAGATAGGTAATACCACTTCCTAATCTAGCACTTGAATCCAACTGTTAGTCCTCTCCAGGGTGATATAACAGGAAGAAATCATATCATACGGTCACAACCTATACATGTACACTTGGTAGCATCCCTTATTAGCATTCTTGAGGACTGGAAAGATACGGATCTTGTATAGTTCTTCTGTGTAACTTTAAACCTCTTCTTAATCTCTTCTGCTTCTGTTTGGTCCCTGCCATTTTGGTCCTTTATCATGTCCATCTTTGCATGAAAGGTTTCCTTCATATCTCAAATTTTCTTGAAGAGAACTTTGGTCTTCCCTATTCTTTTGTTTTTATCAATTTCTTTGCACTGTTCATTTAAGAAGGTATTCTTATCTCTTCTAGCTATTCTCTGGAATTCTGCATTCAGTTGGGTGTATCTTTCTCTTTCTCCCTTGCTTTTCGCTTCCCTTCTTTCCTCAGCTATTTGCAAAGCTTCCTCTGACAGCCATTTTGCTTTCTTGCATTACTTTTTCTTTGGGATGGTTTTAGTTGCTACC